TATTTGTTTCTCAATAAAATTAAAAAAAAAAAAAGAACAGGGGCCGGAGTGATAGCTCAGAGGCATAAGCACCTACCTGGCAAGCACAAGGACCTGAGTTCAATCCCCGGCCCCACATGTTGTGCATTCTTGGCCCTGGATGCCCAGGTACCCACCAGGTGGGCCCAGAACTGGGTAAGGTGGCACACACCTGTAATCTGAGTACTCAGGAGGTTGAGCCATGAGGATCTCTACAAGTTCAAGACCATCCTGGAGACTTCAAAAGTGAGCACAAGAAAGGGGGAGAAGAGGAGGATGAGCAGGAGGAGGAGGAGGGAGAATACTTGCTGGATTTCTGGGTGGGGGCTGGAAGAAAACAGAACCAGGTTTTTGAGAATCTCAATCTATGCATACAAGGCTGGCCTTGGACTCACAGAGATCTTTCTGCCTCAGCCTCCTGGGTGCTCCGCCATGCCCAGCAGCATTTTCTAAATTGTCTGCAGAGATCTCTCCACAGAGAACAAATTTGCTTTTAGGGCCTCAGCACCTCAGCCGCCAGGGGTGCTGTCCCTGGTGCTGGATAGGTTTGCCTCCACCGTGAGGCTGGTGCTCAGGTGAACGGAGGAGAGGCCATTCCTGGAAGTGGTGTGGACCTCGCAGACCAGGCCCGCAGACCTGGGCAGTCCCAGCCAGGAGGTGGCCGGGAGGGCCTGTGAGGCTGGGGCGGGGAGAATTTGCCTCGAGTGAGGCCATGCAGCTGCCCCGGGACTTGGGTTATCCAAGCCAGCATGCGCACGGAGACTGGGGATGGATGGGGACCCTAGCTGATAAGTTTGGGGTGAGTGGACGAGTGGGCAGCCCACGTACAAGGCATCTGCTGTGGATTTGCTGGTGCCAGGCTGGGAAGGTGCCAGAGGGTGACTTCTGGGCTTTGGGGTGGGGGAGGCAGAATCTGATCCACTAGCCTCACAGGACAAGCTGGCAGCCAGAGGGCTCCCCAGTGTGGCCCTGCTGTGTTCCGGCCCTGAGACTGTGGCCTCTGCCCATCCAGGGTGTTCACGGGAACTCGACCGTGATGGTTGTTATCCAGCCACTAGAGGCAGCGTTGCCCCTGACAAGCTGGGACCTGGAGGGCCTCAGGCCCCAGAGAAAGGGGCACCAGGAGTTGGCCAGGTCCTGCTTCCACCACTGAGGCCTGGGCCTTCGTTACACAGAGTCAGACAGCGGGGCTGGCCTTCAGAGCAGGAGAGGACATGACCATCACTATCACGGAGGCCAGACCCCCAGTGCCTGAGACCAGGGCCCGGCAGGTCTGAGTCCCAGAACCCCAAGGTGTGTGCCGCGGCCCCAGACCACAGGTGTCCAGAAGCCCACAGAGGCTCAGCTCAGCCGCCCCAGCGGGCAAGAGGCAAGGCTGTCTGGCATGTCTTTCTGATCTTTTAAGTACTGGTGGTCATTTTATTTATTTATTTAGTAGTACCAAGGATCAAACTCAGGACCTTGCACTTGCCAAGCAGGCACTTATGCTGCTGAGCTATGTCCCTGGTGGTCATTTTTTTTTTTTTAATTTTATTTATTTATGTGTGTGTGTGTGGCCAGCTCAGCCCACCAGGGGGCGGGGCGGGCTGGCATGTGGTGCTGGGGATTGAACCGCAGTCCTTGTGCTTTGCTAAGCTTGATTCTAAGTAGGTGCCTTAGACCACTGAACCATCTCACCAGCCCTCTGGTGGTCATTTTAACAGGACACCAAACCACTTGTCCATGCTACACTGACCAACAGGGCGTTCTTCATGGGCGAAGACGCAGTGTCGCAGGCCAGCACCTGAGAAACATCCATCGTCAGCTGACATAGCCACCATTGTGGGCTTGGACGCAGTGAACGCCAGCCGGGTTCTTGCTGCCTGGAGCTGGGGGTCCATGGGCTCTGGGTCACCCTGTGAGGGGAGCGTGTGCTTCGGGGCTGCTGCCCAACACAGCGGGGAGGGTGGCGCTACAGCCCAAGTTGCACCCGCATCTCAGGACTGGGGGAGACGCCACTACTCCCAGCGCCACCACGCTGCCAGCCTCCACCCCCCTGCACCCCAGTGGTCGACACCCACAGAAAACTACAAAGTACCACAGAGGAGCAGAGAGTGACCTGCACCACAGCACAGGTACAGAGCAAAGCAGTCACATGGAGCGGAGATTCTCCAGCAGCTGGAGCAGGGCTGGGGACAGCAAGTGACTCCAGAGTCACCTGGGTGCCACTGGGAGGACACAAAATCCACCTCAAGGCACAGCAAGGGAAAGTCACCAGGCACTGGGGACAGGTTCATCTGCCCAACAGGAGGCACAGCATGCAGGGCTCATTATGTGATGCAGGCTGGTCTTGAGCTCAATATGTAGCCCAGGCTGGCCTCAAACTCATGGCATCCTCCTGCCTCAGCCTCCCAAGTGCTGCAGGGATGCACCCCCACAGACAGAGCAGCTGCGGCATCATGGGGACCTTCGGGGTCAGCACAGAGGGTGACAGGACCCCCATCTGAGATGACAGGCAGCACTTCTCCCTTGTGCTCCTCTGCACAGCATGGGGCATGATAGGAAGATGGAGGACACTGCTGAGGGATGGGGACCCGGCGGCCATGCAGCAGGCACCTCATTGGCCCCGGGCTCGGAGCTGAAGAAGCTGAAACCCACAAACTGGGGAGGGGGTGCAGCAAAAGCCCAACCAAATAAGCTGCGTAGCTCCTGCCCCAGGAAACAAGGGAATGGATTCTCGACGCAGGGCAGAAGCCCACGAAATGGCAAGCAGACAAGCGACACAGGAAGCCCGAGAAGGAGCTGCTTCTTGAAGACATCACGAAATGGGTGAAACCCTCACAAGGGTGGGCCGGCAACAGGAACGAAGCACGACACCAGGGACAGCCAGGGACAGGCCAGGCTCCCAGTCTGACCTGGACAGCTGACATCCCTAACCATGAGGAAACTGAGTCCACAACTGCTGAACTCTCAAGAGAGGCAGCTCCGCATCCACAGGACTTGGAAATGCTACCAAACATGAAAGTGCAAATCAGCACCAACTCCATGAAAACTTTTTGGTTAGGTTTTTCAGCACAGTGGAGAAGAAGGAAAAGAAAGGGAGGCCTTTACTGGTACCAAGGGCACGAGAGGACCGGAGGGAGACGCAGAGGTCCTCTGACCTGAGACAACAGGGAGCTAGGCTAATATGGACTTCCACTAGGGGCGGAGCTTGAGGGGCAGGCTCAGTGACATGTGAGGAGCAGAATGGGCTTCCCTGTGCTTCAGGAAAGGCAAAAGGAAGTTGTATTCAGGGCTGGGGGAGAAGACGAGGACGTGGTCCTTGGGGCGATAAGCTGTTGCTTTGGGGATTCAGCCACATTGACTCAGGGCCACAGCCAAGCAGTCCCATCTCCAATGCACCTTTTTTTTTTTTTTTTTTTGTGGAACCAGGGA